TTGGCCAATTTTCGTTTTTAGATCAGTGCTGCGGTTAAATAATGCGCTTCCAAGAATATATACAAGCAGCAACAATATCCACAAATCCAAAACCAAAAAAGAAACAAAAAAACAATAATAATTTAAAAAGTGTTGCATATTCCCATTGTGGGTTAGGAAGGCCTTGAATATGCATATGATATAATACACATATCTATACCTGAATTCGTTATATGTCATTATGTGCTTTTTGATGTCGATTGTGATTTTGGATTTTGACTTGCCTGCTTCTTTTTTTGTGTACGCTTTAAATCAACATGTTGATTTTCTAAGCAATTAATTTGATTAACTGCCAAGTTGCGGCTGCGGTTTGAGGCGCCTTTGATCTGGCCACAGTAAAGTTCGATGTCAGTACACACATATATCATGAGTATTAAGCATTGGGCATTAAATATTGAGCATTAAGCATTATTAATTAAAAGTTCTTTACAGCTAATTGCAGAGTATTATAAAAGCCAAGGCAGCAGCTGACGATGAGCTGTTGATCGTTCAACGGAAATACCTGAATCAGACACCTCTTTGAGCTCAACATATCATATGAAAGTGAATTTTCTCAAACATAAAAATATATATATATAAAATAACAATTCCTAGTGGGTGCTACAAATATCTCATGAAGGAAAGGATTAAAAAATTGATAGAAATTATTGAAAATAATAATCTAATAAAAACAAGGACAGTTATTACAAAATTATTCATTACATATGGCGTCTATTGCCAATAATTCTGAAATTATTAAATACTTTCAAAAACGAGAGCAAGCTGCAAGTTCGTTGCCTAAGTCTTTTGATTGCAATGGGATAGAAAAGTTAGTTCGTGGATTGCAAGTCAATTTTTTGACAACAAACACATTGCAACGATCTTATCAACAATAACACCAGCACCAGAAATGGCTACACAGCAAACAGGCCACCTGCCAGGCACACCTAGATTTTTATTGGGCGTATATGCGCCTGATTAGCTGTTACCAATATTTTTGTTAACGTTTTTCGCTAGTTGCACCAAAAATTAGTCGCAATTCACGAATATTTGCTCGCGTTTTTGGTTTTGGGATTTTCGATTATTGTAGCTGTGGCATTTGCCAAACATTTGAATTTTTGGACAAAATTGAAAACTCTTTCAACTGCAACCACTAAGCTGCTGCAACTGCCACCAAAGCGCAGCGGCAAACGTTAATTAATTACGATTTATTGACTAAATTTGTTGATTAGACAATTGACGTTGCCGTTGCTACAATTGCTGTTGTGGCTGATTTTGATGTTGCCACACAATTTGACCACTTGCCACACAATTGTCGCCAATTAATTGAGCATTGATTTCGCTGATTTGATATCCCGCCCTGCAGGTGGCACTCGTTATTTCCATTCGATTTCAATTCGTTTTTTTTTTAAATTGCATGCAATTAAGCATCCAAATCTTAGGAATTAGACTTAAGACATAGCAAAGCGATTTTCAAAACATGTAAGAATGCTCCACTAAGAGATAATCGAATTTACCTTTCATAAGTCATAAATAATCAGGTTTTGGCAGTGGAAAGTGATTTTTTTGGGATGAAAATTTAACATATATCTTAAAATAGAAATCTTGTTAAATAATTTATAGGTTAGTATTTAACTTAAACCAAAAATTGTATACCAATTTTGAGGGAAATTAAAATGAAGCATTTTCTTAAAGGTTAATCCATGATCATAAAGCAATACAGTCGATTCCGTCTCTAAAAAGTTTGATCGCAACCATTTGGCAATTTTAAATAATATGTTATATATATAACCGTTGAAGTTATCAATTATATTGTAATTTTAAACTAAAATTAAATTTATATATTAACCACTAATAAAACGATTTTGGTTTGATTGAAAATATTTAATTGCACTCATACAAAAGACTTAGGCAACAAACTTGATTATGGAAATACTAGAAGATTGACTGAACAGTGAAACTGAGTGACTGACAAGTGGCTCACAAAGTGTCCATAGACTGTTTGTATGTTGGTGGTGGTGGTATTAGTGGTGGTGTTGGAGGTGGTGTGAAATTCCTAACAGGCACTTTCTTGTGGAATGAACGCCGCATCAATCAGCGGCGGCAGCTTAAATGCTGCATCATGACAAAACCATTACACTTGACCAGAGAGCGCGCTCCGGGTACGTTGATGGCGTCGGCAGATGCTCAAATGACTAGGCGACTCGGTTCAGCTCTCGGCGTGATTGATTGATTGGCAGCGTGAGCAGCGGGCAGCGGGAAATGGGCAGCGACTGGGACTGGACTGATGCTTTGTCTAAAAGCCGTTTAGAATAACACCAAGCAACCAAAAGCAGCCACAACAATAATAACAACAGCATCCACACGGTGCAGCACATAACGAGCCCAGCAGCGAGAAATTATGCATTGTGTTGGAAAAATGTTTAATCTGTGCAATGCCAATGCCAATGCCAATGCAGCATATCAAGGCACCCTCACCTGGCCAATACATTCAGTCACTCAGTCAGTCAGTTAGCCACTCCGCCAGTTGGCCAGTCAAGCAGTCAGTTGGAGGCATCCAACGGCCGGCGGCCGTCAGTTGATTGCGCTTCATTATTAATGCCAAACTGTGCGCCGGCATTCGTTGAATTTGGCTTTTGCAATTTGCTCTCAATGCCGCCGCGTCGCTGTTGCTCCAGACCCGCCTTGGCCTTCATCCCAATGGTCTGCGAGGAGAGAGGGGCGCGGGGGGCAGAGGAGACAGGCATTAAAAATGAGCTCGGCGTAACAGGTGGATGCCGCAGTCGCTGCGACGACGACGATGGCGACGGCAACGTGATTTTCGCCAAATCGTTTAGATTATTTTGAGATTGCTTGCGCCAGTCTCTGCCACAACAGCTGTCCAGCCGGCCGTCCAATCTGTCTGGCACTCCTTCTCACTCTTTCTCGACGAGTTCCGCACCTTGCATTTGAACTTGAAACATTTCATTTTGTTGCTGGCGGCATCCGAAAGAGCAGCGCTCGATTCGATCGATTAGTGGCATTCTATTGCGTTCAATTTTCATGTGCAACATTGAAGTGATCGCCGTTGGCACAATAAACACGCGATTTATTTCATGCCAAGCATTCAAGTGCCGCAGTTGGTCAGGCAAAGGAGGAGCTGCACCAGCACCAACAGAAACAACAGCACCACAAGCCAGCCTTGTCTTGCCTTTCCTTCACCCCAGCTTGCCTTAGCTTGCTCTGGCTTGTGGTATGTGATAATGGGATGATGGTATGATGATGCATGCGCAGCATACACAGCATCCCAGCAAAAAAGCAACAAGTTGCAAAAACTATAGACGCAATGCGTCGAATGTGAAATACTCTATACGATAATAATTAAACAAATTCTTCTATTGTAGTGTTAGTATTAAAATAGACACATTAATAGATGTCATTTGACAAAATATTTAAAGAACACCAATTTTGTATACATTCCAATAGAACCATTTTCGGTATTATTAATGGCCTCTATTTCTTAGAAATTTCATGTAATGAAGTCAAATTGTTCAATTCGTTTGAAACTTCACTAAAAACTGTTAAGGATAAACTTAAGCTCTTAATTCAAATTGAAATGATGATGCTAAGCAAAATCTCGGTATTATTTTCTTCAAAAACTTTGTTTGTTTTCTCACTAACAGTCCTACTTTTAATATGTATATCAAAGCACATCCTTGAGGAATTTCATGCTTGTCGATATGCCTGCCACCTATCAAAGTGTATGACCAACAACAATAATAACAGCAACCCACTCTTTTATATACATAAATACATACATATCTCTTGTCTTGTTTTTTTCTCTTTTGCTGACTAGTGGCCAAGGTTAGTCGCTGCCTTGGTCGCTGTCGAAGCTCACTCTGCCGCATTTTAACCGGTAATTGCTTGTGATGTATGATTTTGAGTTCTAGTTTTCTGGCCTGGCCTGGGAATATCTCACAAACAGACACTAGTCGGATAGAGAGACGGACGGCCGGACAAACGGAGCTTTGTACTCATTTTGCTAGCTGATTGCTGACGATGCCTATATATGCGGGTGATGTATGTTATATAACTATAGGTATCGGTAAAGGCCATAGATATTGATTTGACAGTGGGGCATCGTAATGATGAGAGTGCTTTTGGCCACTGTCACACTTTCTAAGCACTTTCACCCAATTAGAGCGATCAGTCATATCACATAATATATATATATATATATTTGTATATAAATATATATATATATGTTCATACTATCAGGGTGCTGGTGATCTTATGCAAAACGAGGACAAAGCATAGCGCCCAAGTCCCTGGTCTCTGGTCTCGATGACAATCTTTTGTTTTCACTTCTGCAGAAACAAAAGCCATAAAGGATAAATTGTGACTGGCAAGTTGCAAGCTATATTCGAATTCGAATTCGGCTTGTGCCTGTTGCCTGTTCCTGTGCTTTGGTTAGGTAGCCGCATTTAAAACAGTTGGCGGCAATCGTTGAACTTTTGGCTTCGACAAGTGCACAGCGGGGCGTCCTTTTGGCCAGGAAACAAAAAGGAGGCGGCGCTGCTGGCAATTTTGTTTTCATTTCAGCTAAGTGGACTGGATTGAAGTAAAGTGAAGTGGCGAGGCTGCCGCTCTGACTACGATTATATTGAAAGACAAACGTTGGCCCATTGTTTAGCCAAGGTCCAATTGGGCCAAGTATTTAAACTTCTATCGCATGATTGATTGACTGCCCATACAACAGAACAAATATTCCTTTTTACATATACAATATTGAAAATAATTTCTCTCGCGCTTCTTGAGTGACGTCTGTTGTTTAATTTGTTGTTGCTGCTGTTGTGGTTCTTGTTGCTGTGCTTTTCATGCCATTTCGATACGGGCCTCATTTTTCTCGCCACAATTAAAGAAGAAAGTTGGCGGCGCAATTAGAAAACTCGCATCGATCAAATTGCCACAGACAGAAACGTCATGCCAACACACACAGTTTACTCTATCTGTAGTTTCAAAGTCTTCTGTATATGTGTCTCCATCTCTCTTTCTCTCCGTGTTGCGTCAAAATTTTCAAAAATAATCAAAAACCATGTCCTCACGACGTATCAGCAAAGGTAAAGTGCCCCGGGATGTGCATTTGGTGATGGCTTTGCGCCGCGAACTGAATCGCAATTCGCGCCAGATTACCCAGACCTTCTGGCAGGAGTTTGAGCAGATCCGCAATCAACAGCGCCATCAACTGGTCGAGGAGCGCAACAATCGCGAGAGTATTGCCGCACTGATACGCGATGCCAATCAGGATGCCATACAGCAAGCGGAGGCACTGGGTCGCAGCATCAGTTCCCATGGTATCAATCCGGTCGCGCCTTCCCCATGCATGCGCCGCGAGGCACCGGCCATTATGCCCGTGGAGCATAAGAACGATTCCACTATTCACGTGCAACAAGTACTGCCATCATCTACAAGCTCAACATACGTGCCACGTGCTCCGCCCTCGTCCAGGGCAACCATTCCGGGCATACCAAGCATAAGAACTAGTCCAAACCTATCTAAACTGCAACTATCCCAGAAGCCAAGAAAGTGACGAAGTAAAGTCAAGCGTTTAAAAAAAAAACAGATTGTTTTCATTAGTTCGTATTTTGTGATCAATTAGGCAGATTAAATATAATTTCAAACACAAATCAAATCTGCAGTAACTTGCAGCATTAATGGGATATCGCAACTGATTGTTCAATTTTTCTTAGCCACATAAGCCCCTCACAAGCAAAAGTTTCACAACATGAATTAGTAAACAAATTTAAGTCGAGGCCAGTAAGAAAATTTCAATCATGCAGACTACGTAATACTCTGACCCCCCGAGAATCTACAGTCAATGACTTTTTAAAGATGAGTATCTTTCTACGAGTTTTTAGGGCATATTTATTGATTTCAGTTCTACAAACACACAAAAATTATACACTTTTTTCTTTGAAAGCAACCGATTGCAAATTAATTAACGGTACACGGCCCCCATGCACAAACAAAGACAATAAGAGACAGCGTTCGAGGGCAAGAGGGAAACACGCAGGTGTCTATCTGAGTAATCAACCTTATGTGGGCATGGCAAGGCGAACATTACGTTACGTTAAATGACTTGGATGCCAGATTCCGCTGGTACTTCATAAATACTATAAATCACGACAAACAACAAAAACAGCAACAACAAACACAAAAGAAAACAATCAACAAAATGTAACGTTATTCATCACAGGTGGTAAATTTAACTGACAACAAACGCGCGCCGATCCCCATCCCCAGCCAAGATCCGGCGAGTTCATCAGATCCGTGGCCAGAGACTCAATTCCGATACCTAATACTTAACTCACAAATCGAAACAACAACGAACAGCAATTTCTGGGTCAAAATAATTAATAAAAGCGAGCGAGTTTTGTGCGCATGACTTGGCCAAAAGCAATGCCTGCTCTGCTCAAATTTGACAACCCCAACTTGAGGAAGCGTTGCCATTAAGCAAGACGCACAAGGGGTTCCGGAGGATGCGGGGCTATAGGCGGTCGCCGTTTTGTCGTCGCATTGGCGCATGCGCGCAAAAAAGCAAAAAATCAACGAAAATAATCAATCAAAATGTCTTAAGCAAATCACTCGCATTTTAGCTACCAAAAAAGTACGAAAAATTACAGAGCCAGCCACCAACTGAGTAACTGAAAGCGCCTGCAAGAGCGCTCATACGATGCTGCTGAAATAGTTTATCATGTTTCATGATAAAAACAATGTGAATAAGGCTATGAGATGATCAAGGTATGTATGCCAAAAGAAAGCGAGAGATATCCTAAGCCAGGCCATTGAGAGTCCGACATTCGTAAAGGCTCTTTCGGTTTGGTTGCCTTTAAGACCAATTAACTTGTTCACTTATCACAATATGTGCGACTGCATAAACGTCGCATAAGTCGCAGCTGTCTGACTGACTGGCAAGTTTGTTTGGCAACTTGTGATGGACGTCGGTTGGGCAACAGTCACGATTTGCATGTGCGACAACTGTTGCCAGCAAACAGCAGCAACAACAGCAACAGCAGCAGCAGCAGCAACAAATCGCGAGCACATTGAACTGTCATTGACACGGCAGCAACTTGAGTAGAGAAGCAGGCCCCCAGACGACCAGAAGAGAGACACCTGTAACTGAAGTTGAAAGGCAAAAGGCGAACGATGAATGCTTGGGTGGTGCAGCAGCAACAGCAACAACCGTCACAACAGCAATTCTTGCTGATGGGTGCGGTGGCAGCAGCAGCAGCAGCAGCAACAGTCGTCAGTTTGAAGCCGGGTTCCCAGTTTTACCGGCCAATTACTGCAAACAAATTCGAATGCGAATGCGCATTGAAAATTGTGGCAAGGTTGGTAATTTAAGACTCACGCCGCGAAACTAAAACTGAACCACCAAACCGAGAATCGAGAATCGAGAACCGTTTCTTTTGTCGCCATTCGCCTGCTGAAGTTGTTGTTGCGGCTGTTGTTGTGGTGGTGATTGAATTGCTGATTTAACGGTTGCTGTTGTCAAATTAATGACATTCATTCAATTCATACCATTGGCAAACGTAAACGTGGCCAAAACGGTAGTTTTTATTGCTTGGCAAATTGCAATCACCAAACAGAGCGCGTGTTACTATAGTTGTTGCAATTGCTGTTTGCGTTTGTGTTGTCATTGTCATTGCTGCTATTATTAATGTAGTTATTAAATATTTACAACTGCCGCCGCATAAAGCGTGCCAATTGTGGGTGCAGTTCGTAGGCAGCAACCAGCAGCGAGCAGCAGCGCACTGTTGCACCTGGTGGGACCAATCACGTTACCAGCAACCGGTGTCAAAGTGCAAAAGTTCAACGCAAACTTCTTGTCATTATTTGCAATCGTTCTGTTCCATTCCATTTCGTTTCGTCGCGTTCCGAAACGTTGCGTTGAGCTTGCTAGAAACCAAAGTGAAAGGCAACTCTATGAACCTCACAGAATCCAAGCTGGCTGGCTTCGTTCTGGGCCGCCTTAGCTTAATTAATGACTGTTTTATATACTTTAATTAGTTGTTAATGATTTGCTGATTGGGTGGCACGGTGAGTCCATGAATCAAATGCTAAGTGAGTGTCGCCCCGTTTTCGGTTTTTGGGTGGGCTTGGCAGATGTCAGGGTTGCCGCCTGTCGCAAGATAACGCTACGTAAACATGGCGTTAACTAGTTAATTGATTCGTGTCCAAGCGATACCAACTAATGGCAAACCCAAATCATGACAAAATATTTATACCTTCATTTAAAATAGGCTACGTACCTAATCAATATATACAGGTCTATAATTGAATGTAAGTGGAGCTAAGGATTGCCCAACTCTTGGAAATCTTGCGTCTGAACCTTAATGTTCTGTTGAAAATACATTAAAAAAGCTCATGTTACAGTTATTTATTACTGCTTTCATTAATAGATAGTTCTTATAATGACAAGCATTATGTCTACTGCAACGTTTTCAAAAGTTATTTCATAATCAATAAAAAAAAGTTGCCAAATTCTCTGTTGCGTGTTTGTTTTAGAAGACCCCAAAACACACACAATTTAAAGTTGAGGCCAAATCGAACATGGCAGTCTAGACAAAATGCTTGTTGTTTCAATTTTGAATCGCCCAGTAAACCAAACAAGCGACAACAGCAACAAGAACAGAGCCAACAGTCAGTTGCCACAACCAAATTAAACAACAAGTACACGCTGCAATTTTGCATTGCTGTGGCATGAATTGCACATTCAAAATGCGTAAAGTGCTCGATTAATAATATGTATTTGCGAATAGTTTAATTTGTCAAAATTTATGCCAAAAACGATTGCATGACCAAAATGCGAATCAGTTGCTGTTAGGCGCCATAAATTAAAGACTAAGAGGTCTTTTTATCGCCCATCGATTTCCTCGCCAATTAGTCAAAGCTTATGGGGGCGCAAGCAGGCTTAACTAACGCTGGAATTTCGATGCCAGATGTGCCAATGATAGCGTCAATGCACTCCCAATGATAAGGTGGATTCACAATGTCGCCAGCCGGTGGCTTACCAAGCTACCAAACGACCTGCCAATGTTTGATTGATGTTACGCCTAAATCCGACAGGCTGGAAATGATAGCGAATATGTTTTCCACTGCTTCAATTTCCTCTTTTTGAAACGCATTTTTTATATAAACAACTCTTTGGATTTCCATTTTTCCCTTTCCAGAAAATAATAGTTTATTAATGCATTCTATTAATGCTTCTATTTCTTCTTCTATTTAATTTTTCATATTCCAATTATATCTTTGATTTCACTTCCTATGGCCCTAATTTTTTAATCCCAGTGTTCCTTATACCCTTGACTCACCTACCACGGTGCATCCACTTATTTCACTGTCTCATAACTTTTGGGGCAATTTTATTGCACCAGCATAGTGATAATCTATATGCCACAATCGATTCGCATGCCACGATCAAGACTTGCAACAGCAAGCAGCTAAAACCAATGTATTTGGCACACGCAAAAAGTAAGAAATGAAAGAAGGGGGAAGTTGGGTTTGAGGTTGATGTGACGCTGGCGGTAACTCAATACTTAAGCACTTACACGTTAATTTAGGCACAAATTGAATTAATAAACCATGTTGAACATTGTGTGCGGTCTCCTGTTACCCATTCGCTGCTCCCCCGCGCTACATCCCTGAGAAACAGGGCTCCTTTTCATAATTCATTAATTTATGCACGGACCTCGGCTCAATGAACCTCGAAAACAAGCAAAACTGGCCAGGAAACCGACGAGCGACCTACAGAGAGACACACAAAAATTTGAATTTACAAGCACGTAACGCGCAACCTCCTCCCTGCCAACCGCCCATCCAGCTCCTCCACCCCTTCGCTGGCGTGATTGGCTTACACTCGGAGCTGCTGTTGGGTTACTTTCAGATTGCGATATTCGTCGCTGCTTGCTTGTAAATTAGAACATGCTAAATGCAGTACCCAAAATTGCAACCCAGCAGGACCTGTGACGACTGAGAAATAATTGCGGTTGTTGTTGCGCATGTTGTTCTTGTACCTCGCTATAACCTACGGCAAGTGTTGGGCTCTTATTTTCGGTTCTTTTTTTTTTTTGTCTTTGGTTAGTGAAGGTGCGTTAATATGATTTTTATTTACACCTTTGGCCAGCCTCTTTCAGGCAGAGTTGCAAGGAATGCGTTTGAAGTAGCCGAAGCGTTTGTTGAATTTCACAAGGAATTTAACTGACAATCCAAGTGCCAATGTCTCCATGGAGAAGTTTAATCTAAAAAGTGATCCGTTTGCAATACAGTCGATAAGTGATATATCTAAAGACATTTTGTTACATTGTAATTCAAAATACTACGCTATGCAATAGTAGATCAATATTTCTATTGGTATTTCTGCTACGAAGTAGAAAATTCTAACACGTGTTTTCGAATTTAAATTCAGCAGTATTCTGGAATAGAAATCATGGGCAAATGAGTACAGTTCAGAATGTCCAAAGTGTGGCTTGGCGTTGTTCACCAGCCATAAAACCTTTCAGGACACAACGTGAAGAGGAATTGAAAAACTACGCGCTCTCACATTCAGGCAAATACTCGATCTTTGCAAAAGTAAAGTATAATGAAAGTGCACAAAAGAGTCACAAATGACTGTGTCCACTTTGCTTTTTGGCGGCCACTTGAAGTTGTTGTTGTTGTT